AAAATCAATTTTGTAATTAGTAGAGGCATGTGAATACATTTAACTTAAGAGTTTATAAAATACCAAAAAAAAAGTTTATTAAAGTAAAATTCCATGCTTTCTAACTCTGTCCCAGGCATCTATCTCCTCACTGACACAACTCACAGTGATATAAGCATCCACTGGGGACCTGGCTCTCTCAGGAGTATGAACACCATTAAAGATCTCTTCAAGAAGTCTTGTGGCAGTTTCCACTGCTTCTCTGTGAGCCAACTCATCCTCAATTTGCTGCCGGGCTTCCTTGTAGATGTCCTCCTCTAAAGCTACCCCTACAATCATGTAAATTAACTGGCTGGTAAAGATGCTTTAAGAGACATAATTAAGTAATGAGTTGTCAGTGGTAAACTAAAAAAAAAACAAAGCCAAGTATCTGGAAGGTTCCTTTGGACACAATTTAAAGTATCCTGCAAAATGTTGACTGCCATGTTCAGTGTGCTGGCCAACTGAAAAATAAGATACAAAAACAAACAAACCAAATCTACAAATTAATATTTGCCACCTTTCATTACCTCTTAGAGTGATCCTCATGGGAGCACCACCACACAGAGTAGGTCTTGTCATAAGTTCCCATGTCTCAGTGAAGATCCCAGCATTTGGAGATTTGAATATGAATGGAAAGTTCAAAGTATCCCCTGGTAAGATCACACCACTCTTGGTGTCAAAGTAAAACCTTTGAGCATGTCCTGCAAGCTTTGTTCCCAACACATTGGCCCGTGGTATTTTCTGTGTTATGAATATTAAGATAAGTTAATCAAATCCATCATTAAATAAATACAAAAATCCTTGAACTTCTATGTCTGCTTGAATTGATACCATTTAGAAGGCTTACAGTCACAGACTGAAATGAACAATATCATTACTACTCATCTCCCACGTTATATTTGAGAGTAATGAGAGCTACTAAACAATACCTTCCAAGAAAAGTATACAGCAGTTGTTCCATCATTGCAGATATTTAAATAAGAAGTGACCCTGTCTCCAACACTGGCATCAAATATCACACGGCAAGCCACCCCTGCTTTCTCACTGCCTCCTGACCTTGGACCATTCCACTGTGCGGTGTAACCACCAATTGATAATGATGGTCCAAATATTGGCTGAGGTACAACATCAGCAATATTTGCTAAAGGGTCCCTAGAAATAAGAAACTCATGAGGTCCTAAACTGCTTTTTTATTTCCTTCCAATCTAAACGGAGCTATATTTTACATTAGCAACCTTTTAAAATTTACTGGGGGAAGAAGTTATATTAGTCCATGCCAATTTGGGATACATAATAGTGTATGTGCTACCCTTAACTAGAGGTCTTGTGATAATGTTCCAAGAAAAGAAGAATGACTTACCTTTGAAGTGCAGTTTCATCCATTGCCTCATCACTTTCCTCCTCTTCTTCTTCCTCCTGAACTATAGACATCATGTCAAACTTGGATGAATGCTGAGGATGATTTGTTCCAATCACTTCAAGATCATCAATGTACTGAAAGAAAAAGACATGATAAGCTTCTGCAATAATTATAGAGAGGAAAATCTTGAATTCTATTAACCTTAAAGCTAGTACATGAAAAGAGCATCATTCTGTTCACACACCTAATAAGCTATGAAAAAGTGTATGTCAGATGAAGAACTTTGCAGAATGATTGTTTACATGGGTTGATTTAAGCTTTTTTGCCAGGACTCAGATTGATTTTTCCAGGGCTCCAAATTTTACCTTAAACCCTTTAACTTTCAATCCCAAGGTTTAAAAATCAATTCTCCAATACAGTTTACTCATCATAAATTCTGAAAAATTTATTGCTTAAGTTTAAGCAGATTTCCAGGACTTTCCTGGATCTGTAGTCTTTTTCTATGACATTCCAGTCCTGAAAAATTGCAAAATAAAATTCCAGGATTTTCCAGATTTTCTGGGACCCATAAGAACCCTGTTAATTACACTGATCTAAGAGTGGATATGCTCTCAAAAAGTGAACACAATGAAGTAAATTGGATTATAGATTGCACAAAAGAGATAGAAAAGTAGAAGTTCAATAACCCAAAAGCATCATTAAGCCATACCATTACAAGATTTGAGTCAAATGGAAAAATACACAGAACAAAAGAGGGAACTTCTTAAAGCTTCATGCAGTAAAGAATAGCCATCTAAAGAGGACAACAAAATTCCATATATGGAGGAGGGAATAATATGTTAAATTAACATTCATCACATCACCTCAGAACACCATCGCATCACCCTTGAAACTAATGTTAGAGACAGTAATACAGTTACAGCATATTGTGTTACTCACTGGTTGGTGAGGGTCTAACTCATTTAAAACAGTGCGAAGCTGTGTAGTTCTCTCTTGAAGATAAGTTGACTTCTGCCAGGGGTAGTGCACTGATGCCGACCGGTGGGTGTTGGACCACTCTATGCCTAAAAAAACAACAAACATTACCAAAGACTCTAAAATTTTTACAACCTGGCTAACAGTTCAAGTCACAATACCTACACTGTAATTAACAATATCATCAAACAGAGCCATTAAGAAATTCCTACAAAAAATAATTAAAAGCTTCTTCCAATGAGAACATACTTAGCTGCCCCCTTAGAGAAAAAACTACAACAATATTTTTTTTTAAAAAAAGGTCTCTCCATCACTACCATCCCTATCTAATCAAAGTCACAATTGTTTCTGGCTTTCCCTACCCCTTAAAAAAAATAACAGGACATGAAGAGTTACTACACAATTGCTTTGAAATGCAGAAAAGACATGGAAATTCAAATTGTCTTCAATTTTACCATTGGTGGCAATAGTGGATGAAGTCAGCCCCATTGTACCTTACCCATTTCATTTTTGATGCATATGGGTTTTCCAATGTGTTCAATAGCAGGTGGATAGCCACGCTCAGTCTGTGTCAAAGTCATGCTTCATACAAAAACAATACAGTTCATCAATGTCTTATTCATTAATAAACTAAAAAAGACAATGATCATATAGTCCTCAAAGAAGCAGTAAGGCATTAAACTTTACAGACATTGCCTGCTTTTGCTACTCAGAAAAACTCCTTGGAAATGCTGTCTAACAATCAGTAGAAGGCAACCCAGACTAAAAGTGATCATGGTTTCCAAGTTGTGGCCGATACACTGCAAGGGTGCAGTCTAACCTTCTCTGACTTGCAAGAGTGATGGCAATAATGATGATTACATACAAAGTAGAGTGTCTCGCATTGTTGAAATCCCAAACTTTTCATGAAAGTAATCAAGCTGAAAATTGAGTCTTACTTGATTCCTGTTTCATCATTTCCTATTTGCTCCACTTGTTTCCAAAACTCACTACCAACACGATCTGCACAAAACAATTCCTATATTTAACAGTAAGTCCAACCTATAAAGTGTTGCTGTCTAAATCCTCTTGCATGATAATGCTTATCTCATGGCTAATGATATACAAATAAACAAAAAGTTATCAATTTTATTTCCTCACATCCTTTTCCATAATCCATTGATGGGATTGATCTATCAATGGCATACCTTAAATTAAAAGAAATAAAATAAACCATCAGTTCTGAATATCAACTGTTCTTTTCAGCTTCAAGGCCATTAAAAAGTAATTTACTAAATAATTACCATTGCCCTTTAATTTTCATTTCATTCCATTTGGTTTTAAAATGTACCTATCTTCTTGTGTTTCTCTATAATCTTCACTTTGGTTCATTACCAACATATCTGTTGATGTGTTTAGTGCATCTGAATAATAGAAAAATAAATAAATTCAAATGATAAATTTTGTAACATTAGGAAACTGCAAGTCAGAGTTACTGTCCAACACTATGCTAGAGGCCAAATAAAATGTCAGGGGGGGGAGGGGGCACTGGACCCCGCTAGAGTGCAGCCCTGCAATATAAATCCTTAAATCGTACATTAACATCACGAGAATGAAGGTAATGATCACCCACAAATGTGGCTCTTGATTTCTAACCAAATTCTCCTTGTCAGCAACTCAGGTATATACTAGAGAACAGTATGGAGAATAATTTATGCATACTGACAGCAAGGTGTAAAGGGCTAAGAGAGGTTAGTTTATCAGCCATGATAAATGATGATGGCTCAGTGACTTACTTGCCAGATGATGTTGTTGTCTCTTCCTCTGTATCATCTGTCTCTGCCAGTTTGTCAATGCATTACTTTCATTGATCTTCAGAGGGCAAACCAGAAAGAGATCATTTAAGACAAAAAGATTGATTATATGAAAAACCATTATCTGAGCATGTAGACAGCTGTGACCAGGAAAAGGGCTCTACACAATTTAAATTGACTGGAGTTTGAAAGAACAAGCAGCTAAATCAAGCAAAGGAAGACAACCAGTGACAGGGTAATTGTGAAGAAAATCTCCTGGAAAAAACCTTTCAGCCAAAGTTTTAAGTAATAACCTGTTGGCCAACAGTCATTGATCTGTCAGTAAGTTGTGGGTAACAACACTATTGTTACATGTACTCACTAGGTATGACTGAATGGTAACCTTATTTACTATCCACACTTCTGCAGACAGACTCTACATTGAATATGAAAGATGTTTTGGACATTAATTCTCAGGGCTTGTATTAAAAAAAATGTTATAACATAACCAAAAAAAAGCGCACGCTCTGATTGGTCAATTTAGCATCCCCCATTTGCCCATGGATGTACGCTGCTGACGTGAGCAAATGCAAAGACTAT